GTGGCTGCTCCATCCCTGGGAGTGTTCCAGGCCGGATGGGATGGGGCTTGGAGCCACCTGGGCTGGTGGGAGGTGGCCCAGCCCATGGCAGGGGGTGCAAAAAGATGCCATTAAGTTCCCTTCCCACCCAAGCCACCCTAGGACTCCCTGCTGATCCCACACTGAGTTTGGCTTTCTCCCCCAAACTCACCAGAGGTTCTATTGTCCCAAGATCTTTGATTTTGTTGCCGCTTAGATTTAGGTGTGTGAGGTTCGGACACTTCTCTGCCAACACTTCCAGTCCTCCTGAGATTCTGTTGTCACTCAGCTCGAGCTGAAAAGGCACAAGAAAGACCTTGAGGTCTTAGTCCAAACATATCCCACAGCAGGTTGGGCCACTTGAGTTGTGTTTGTATACAAACAGCACCAGGGGGAAGAAGAAAGGATATTCCAAATAGGTTTTATTTACCTTCTTAAGTTTGTTTAACTTTGGTAAGTTTGCAACTGAGGTTAAGCCTACGTTGATTGTACTTAGGAATTCCAACTCCTCAAACTCATCTGTGAGGCCTTCGATTTTGCCTTCGTATGACCTACAGTTGTCCAGAACAAGTTCTTTAACCTGCAAAGAGAAGAGAAAGGGAATTAAGGCACAGCTCAGGCAAAAAATCCAAGGGATTCCCAGGAATTCGGCAGGGAGGAGCAGTGTTTGATGCCTACTTTTACTGTTCTGGGTAGAGGAACACAGGGATTTGCTTTAACTCCTTCCCTGTGTATTGCTCCGTAAACATCAACAGCTCAAAACATGAGGTTTTAATTAAATAATCATCATTTAAATAACTAATTCTCTCTGAATATCTAATTCTATCTATAAACAGAGAAATTACTCATTTAAATTGTATCATTACCTCATATTATCCATTAATCCTGCCTTACTTATTTTGGCTTGGGACAGGTTAACATTACCTTTGGTAAATGGAAGGAAAAAAAAAACAGCCTAAAACCATAAAACTGAGTAAAAATCATCCCAAAAATATAAAATTAAATTATTTAACTTTAAACGAACAACTTGGACATTTCATACAACTTGTAGGGTATTAAAATCTTAGTTGTTAAAATAACTCATTCCTGCACGGAAAAACTTTTGGATCTTCTCAAGACCATTATGTGCTCAGACCCCTCTAAAAACAGGTCCTGAGGGGCCTGAATCAGATCCTGCTGGAGCTTGCCTCACCCTCCTCATCAGCACAGGGATTTTAGGGAAGATCCCCATGGAAGTAACTCTTTCCTTGGGGAATTAGAGGGATGTGTTGGGTGATGGTGGCAAGACAAGCTCTGAGTGTGTCACTGTGCCCTTATCTCCCTGGCCCTGTGCAGAGGGACAGGGGAGATAACGTCCCCAAGGGCCTGTGAGCACAGGACCTGCCCCTCAGGCAGCACTGAGCACCCCAAGGGGTGGCACAAGGCTTTGGGTGGTGCTCCAAGCAGGTTGGTTGGGTTGTTTCTGTTATCTTCACCAGCCACAATGCAAAAGAGCTCCTAGACAAGCCCCACCCTGCCTAAAACTGCTCCTTTTTCATCCAAAGTGCTCCTTTTTACCCTAAACTCGATCACCCTCCTGGGATTCACATCCCTCTGTATCCCACATGAGCCTTGCAGGGCTCTGCGGAAGCTCTGCCATCATGGATGGTGAATCCACAGCAAGGCCCAACCCACTGGGATGCTTCCCATTTCCATTTCCACTGGGAATTTCTGGGAGTTCTTTCTCCCCCAACAAACTCCTAATGGAGAGGTCATCCTCATGCTCTGCACACCTTGTCCCATGAAGGTTTGTTTCCAGGTGGGAAAGGGATGAAGAGGCTGGAAGCGTGTGCAGAAAGGTGAAGCAACTCTTGAGCTCATCCCAAGGACAGTTAATATGCAAATACTTCATTCCCTACATTTCTTTTCAGTCCAAAGAAGGATCCAATGTGGTTTTCCAGCTTCATGTAACATCCTTGGATTTCTGCTGCAATCCCAACACTGAAGTCACCAGGGAAATGAGCCCAAAGCAACATGAGAGCACAAGTGATTCATTGAAAGAAGGATGAGGAGCAGTGTTAGACAGGAAAGGCATTGCCAAGGCTCTAGGATTTTCCTAGAAGAATTACGATAGGGAATGACTCCATGAGTGTTCCATGAAGAATTTTAGGCTGGTGAGAACAAAGCAAAGATCAAGTCAATGCTTTTGATCCCATGAATGCTCTTGATTCCCCACTAGGCAAAGAAGCAGCCCAAGATTCCAACACAATCCCAAACTCCAAGAACAAATCCCAAGACCTCCAAGACCAAAACCTCAGAACTCCCAAGAGCAAATGCCTAAACTCCACAACTCCAAGAACCCCAAAATTCCCAAGAACAAAATCCCAAGCTTCTTAAGAACACTCTTGGTTCTTGAAGGGAAAGGCAAAGGGTGAACAGCACCTACACCTCATGCCAGGAAAGAAACTGCACCTGCCCTCACCCCTGGAGGTGGGACATCCAACCCTCCAATTTATAAGGATGGAGAAGAGGCAAACAAGGAACAGGACAAAGTTCCCTCAGGAACAGAGAAGGAGAGTTAGAAATAGCCATGGATGCAGAAGATGACCCTTTAGGACCACAGCAGAGGAGTCAACTGCCTTTTGCTTTCATTTATTGCTTCTAAATTGCTCTTTCCAAGTTCTTCCTAAAAAATCCTGGAATGGTTTGGCTTGGAAGGGACATTAAAGGTCATTGTATTCTACCACCAGCCATGGGTAATATCAGGGCAAAGCTGTTGCTTCCGCTGAGCTTTTCAGCCACCTTTGACGCAGCTCTGCAATGTTCTCCTTTTCCCTGGGAGATCCTGGGCAAGACACAACCAACTCCCCAGGGAAATATCATGGAATCAAAGTCTCCAGGTTTGGAAGTGGCAGCAAGCTTGGGTGAGTTAAGGAAAGAGGAGAGCACAGGCTCCTAACTCTCCCTAGATGCAACCACAGCAACACAATGTCAGTGCTGATGGGGCCAGAGGTGACACACTGAATTGCTCCTGGAAGAACAAGATTCCACATAAAATTCCAACCAAATTTAGGCTAGTTTTATGTTCTGACTTAAGAATCCTAAAGAAAACATACGTGTGGAAAACGAGGATCAACTAGGCTTGTTGCGCTTCTCCCAACCTGCTGCATCACAAGTCTGCACACAGTACCAGCAGTAGTAGCTACCAGCAGCTTTACACAGCCCTTGGAAGCATTAAACTCCCCACAGCTATTTCTCTGGAGCCTCCAACCCTGCTCATCCCACTCTCCTCCCCTTCCACCCCCCATAGGAACTCACTGGTTTGTGCTTGAGTGCAGAGACAGATGTGTCCCCTAAGTCTCCATGGCCTCTCCATTACCACCAGGGCACTTTTCCAAGGTGCTGGATCGCACAGAGATCCCTTCTCCCCTCCCTCAGCCTCCCTGTTGGAATGTTGGGCCTTATCCAGGCTCAGCCAGCAAGCACAGAAGTGTGTCAGTGTGCAGAGGGGGAAGGTGACCTCAGGAAGTCACATTCCAGCTGAAACAGCACCGAGGTACCACCAAAGCTCATTCCTTGGTGTGTTTCACAAGTCTTTGTAATGCTAAGGAAAATTCCAGCTCCTCAATCACTCTGAATACCCTGAAAACACACAGGAAGGGACAATTTAGACATCTCTTCCCTCACTTTCTGTTAGCAAAATGCAGAAGACACCTTTGCCTGCCACAGCTGAGTCCTGTGGTGCACCTGGATGTGGTGAGGGAGCCAGAAACAATCCAGGTGTATCCCACTGCATTCCCTGCACTGCCACAGATGGATCAAGCAGGACATCCTGAACACATCTGGGAGTCAAATATCCTCAGGGAATTTGTGTTCAGCTGCAAAGCCACAACTTGCAGAGGTTGTGTAACTCACTCTCTACACCACAGAGCACAAGTACTAACTGGAGCAAGTACAGGAGAACATAAACCACAGGACATGTATTCATCACTGCAGAAACCTAGGAACAGTGGGAAAACAACATGCCACAGGCAACCAACCATAAATAACCTCAGTACTGACCTGGCCAGCCAGGAAGGCACCACAGATAGGTCTGGCAGAAGAGCCAAATACAGGTGGTTCCTCATGCCCATGTCTTTGATCCCATCTAGGATAGGGACCATGGGATGCTTGGACTGGGCTATCACAGGTGGAGCAGCTTCAACTGCCATATGTTCCTGGCCAGGCCTGTCCTGCTTTGTCCTCTGTGCGCTCAGGACTGTCCCTGCCTCCCTTCAGCAGGTGTTTCCTGGGTGCCTCAACACTTCTGCTCTGTGGTTTGGTGGTATCAACCCACAGCTTTCAGCATCACAAGCAAGCAAGGAGACAATTCTTCAGGTCCTGCTCCCCATGGCCATCTGATTCTATTCCTGACACTCCTGGACACTCCCAGCCCACGGCATCACACTGGTTGTGGATTGCAGTATCTCCTGCAGCTCTTCATGACTCTCCTGGCATCGCCCTACATTACTGTCCACATGATAACCAGGGGCTCTTATCTCTTCCCCACATTCAGTTGTGTTCCCAAATGGATAATCAACACAGCCTTAAGAGAGCCATGGGGTCTACACTCAGGTTCCAACCTGCTCCAAAGGTAAGCAGCCACTGGATTTCATGAATTCCTTACAAGTGTCACCTGGAACTCACCATGATCAGTACCTGGCAGACAGGAAGAATTTCTTCCCAGAAAGGGTCATTAGACACTGGAATGTGCTGCCCAGGGAGGTGGTGGCGGAGTCATCATCCTTGGAGGATGTTTAAGGACAGACTGGATGTGGCACTTAGTGCCATGATCTAGTTGACATGGTAGTGTTAGGTCATAGCTTGGACTTGATCGTCTCAGAGGCCTTTTCCAACCTGATTGATTCTGGGATTCTTTCTGGAGGGGACCATGCTCTTACCTTATCAATACATATGCAGTCATGGAATTGAGGTTGGAAGAGACCTCCAAGATCAAGGAGTCCAACCCTGGATGTGGCACTTAGTGCCATGATCTAGTTGACATGGTAGTGTTAGGTCATAGCTTGGACTTGATCGTCTCAGAGGCCTTTTCCAACCTGATTGATTCTGGGATTCTTTCTGGAGGGGACCATGCTCTTACCTTATCAATACATATGCAGTCATGGAATTGAGGTTGGAAGAGACCTCCAAGATCAAGGAGTCCAACCACCAAGGTCAAACCATGTCCTCTTCCCCACATTCAGTTGTGTTCCCAAATGGATAATCAACACAGCCTTAAGAGAGCCATGGGGTCTACACTCAGGTTCCAACCTGCTCCAAAGGTAAGCAGCCACTGGATTTCATGAATTCCTTACAAGTGTCACCTGGAACTCACCATGATCAGTACCTGGCAGACAGGAAGAATTTCTTCCCAGAAAGGGTCATTAGACACTGGAATGTGCTGCCCAGGGAGGTGGTGGCGGAGTCATCATCCTTGGAGGATGTTTAAGGACAGACTGGATGTGGCACTTAGTGCCATGATCTAGTTGACATGGTAGTGTTAGGTCATAGCTTGGACTTGATCGTCTCAGAGGCCTTTTCCAACCTGATTGATTCTGGGAT